CTCGGAACAACGACTATTTGGCGACGGAATTCGCGACGGAAATCGACCTTCTCGGAACAACGACTATTTTCTAGCTCGTGACGGAATTTGCAACGGATTCGACAAATGGTCGCATTAGTGCCCCGAAGGTTTATTTCCATCGCTAATTCCGTCGCTAATTAGCGACGGTTTCAGAAAAGGTACCGAACTTGACTCGAGCGTTCTTTTTAGTCACTAATTAGCGACAGTTTCGGAAAAGGTCGTAAACTTCACTCGAGCGTTCTTTTCCATCGCTAATTAGCGACGGATTCGACAAATGGGCACATTAGTGCCCCGAAGGTTTATTTCCGTCGCAAATTAGCGACGGAATTAGCGATGGTTTCAGAAAAGGTACGAACTTGACTCGAGCGTTCTTTTCCGTCGCTAATTAGCGACGGCATTAGTGACGGTTTCGGAAAAGGTTGTGAACTTCACTCGAACGTTCTTTTCCGTCGCTAATTAGCGACGGAATTAGCGACGGATTCGGAAAATAGTCGTGGTTCCGAGAAGGTCGATTTTCGTTGCGAATTCTGTCATTAATTAGCGACGGAAGTAGCGACGGAATCCAAACAAAAGGCTTATCTGTGCCCCCGAAGGTTTATTTCCGTAGCTAATTAGCGACGGAATTAGCGACGGTTTCGGAAAAGGCAACGAACTTGACTCGAGCGTTCCTTTCCGTTGCTATTAGCGACGGAATTAGCAACGGATTCCGAAAATAGTCGTGGTTCCGAGAAGGTCGATTTCCGTCGCGAATTCCGTCGGTAAGCGACGGATTCGAAAAATAGTCGTGGTTCCGAGAAGGTCGATTTCTGTCCGAATTCCGTCGCTAATTAGCGACGGAATTAGCGACGGAATCCAAACAAAAGGCTCATATGTGCGCCCGAAGGTTTATTTCTGTCGCTAATTAGTGACGGAGTTAGCAACGGATTCGCAAAATAGTCGTAGTTCCGTGAAGGTTTATTTTCGTCGCAAAAAATAGTCGCGATTGTCGTGAAAGTTTATTTTCGACAAAAATTAAAATTTTCGCGGTAAATTAGTGATGACCCACCATATAAACAATTCGTGCCTAAGAAAATTTTGCAAATATCGTCGTTCATTTTGCGATGAACACTATTTGTCGCCAATTAGCCACGAATAAGTTTTCGTCACTAATTTTGTCAATTAGCGACGATCCAAATCAAATGGAAAATAAAATATCACAAATGTCATCGCATGAATAGTATTTGAGTTGTCGCCAATTAACAACGAATTTTCCGATGACCTATTGATTTAATAATAATAATAATAATAATAATAATAATAATAATAATAATAATAATAATAATAATAATAACAGCAACAATAACAATAATAATAATAGTTATGACAAAAAAAAAACACATGTCGCAATAATAATAATAATAATTACACATAATTAGTAAAAAGTCTTAAAAATCATAATCTTCATCTTCATCTTCATCTTCATCTTCGTCTTCGTCTTCTTCATGAGCATCATCTTCATTATCTGTCTGAAAATCAGATTTTGTAAGACCTTCTAAATTTGATTCCCGAATTTCAGTTGGATCAACATCTATCATTGCTCCACATGGATCTCGTAAAGTTGGAATGTTATATTCCTCAGTTTCAACCGTGTTACAAACTTCCTCTTGTTGATATGCTGTATCTTTCCAGTGTTTCTCAATTTTTCTTCGTGCTTTGGTTTTACATACAGCCCACCAATCAGCTTTATCACGTTTTAAACTAGGATATGATGCATAATATACTTGAATTGCTTGTTGTGCCAAGACAAACGGTTCATATTTCATATACATTTTCTTGTGATTTATTTCAACCAAATCAAACTTCGTATGCACCTTAATTCCTTTGATGGGGTCGAACCACATGCACTTAAATAACACAACTCGCATTAATGGTCAAGGGTACTCTATCTCTATGATTTCATCCAACAAGCCATAAAAATCATCTGTTGAACTGCCACCGTTGGATGACCGAACACACACACCACTATTCATTGTAGCTTTTCTCATTCCATATTCTTGAGTGTGAAAATTATACCCGTTTATGAAATATGCTGGCCAACTTCGTACTTTTGACTTTGGACCCCATGACAGATGATATAGCAATCCTTGCTCTTCAACTTGATCATGATTATTGTGAACCTAAGGTCACACACGCAAAGTCAATAATATATATTTTAATAAATTATGTATAAAATATTCATAGGCAACTTACATATGTTTTGAACCACGCTGCAAATTTTTCATCGCATAAACGGTCAAACTCATTTGGTGGTAGTCCATCCATTGAAGTTTGAAAAATCCTATTAACAAATACCATTTATATATTAGCAAATGTTTGACACACGGTACATATATTTGCAAATGTACACTTACTTGAAATATGGTTCTACTTTTGGACAGACATCGCCCATGGCCGACCAGGTCTCGCCGGTCGCCAGACTGGCGATCAGGGAAGAAGTTACAAAAAAAAAATCTTCGAATCCAGCTACAAATAGGTTTGCGACGAACCGTATTCGTCGCCAATTAGTCTCCAAATTAGCCATGACACTTACCGGCGGAAAAGCTTTACCGAGACTGATTTGCGCGCGCGGGGAGAGGTTTATCGAGAGAAACGAAAGAGGGAGAGGGAGAGAGAACAACGACGAATTTAGCATAGAGAGAGAGAGAGAGAGAGAGAGAGAGAGAGAGAGAGAGAGAGAGAGAGAGAGAGAGAGAGAGAGAGAGAGAGAGAATGGGGGTGTGGGTGGGTATAATATAATTAGACGAACAAATTATGTCGTACACTTCGTCGCGAATTAGCGATGGATTTTTTTTCCGTCACAAATTCCATCGCAAAATTAACCACGAATTTTGTTCCGTCACAAATTAGCGACGAATTCATATTTCGTCGCAAAATTAGCGACAGAATTTTTTTTCATCGCTAATTCAGTCGCTAATTAGCGACGAATAATTATTTGTTGCAAATTACCAACGAAATTTTTTTCGTCGCAAATTAGCGACGAATTTATTTTTCGTCACAAATTCCGTCGCAAATTAGCGACGATAAAAAAATTCGTCGCTAATTAGCGATGAATTTATTTTTCGTCGCAAAATCCGTCGCTAAGTAGCGACGAATAATTTTTCGTCGCTAATTTCCGTGGCTAAATCCTTGTTTTTTTGTAGTGTAAAGCGCATAATTGTTTCAACCATGACTGCTTCTCCCAAAGGTCAAGCCTGTGATATAAGTTTCTTCATCACCCATCATCGCTGGTGGTGGCTATGGCTATCACCATGTCCTCCACCCCTTCTTTCCTCTCTCGCTCTCCTACCCTTCTCTTCTACATTTTACTTTCCTTTCTTTCTATACTAAAATTAGTTTCTTTTAATTTTGATATTATTGGCTTTTACCTTTTCTTAATGACAATATATATATATATATATATATATATATATATATATATATATATATATATATATATATATATATATGTATCATCTTAGCCTACCACATCAACATGAGAAGAGTTATTCAAGAAGGACCTGATTGAGAATGGGGTAGAGTCAGGGGAGTTGATTCCAAAAGATTCAATTGCACGAGAACAAAAATTAAGGGACCTAAAGTGAACTTACTCTTTCTAAATGATTTTTCTACTTAGCAAGGGAGCACCGGTTTGCTGGGGCCCGCAAAAATTTATCAGCTATAGTAAAAGTGCTTAAATAATTGATAATGAGAATAGGAAAATATGTTGGTAAAGTTCCAGCATTACAATATAATCTCTATGATTTGAAAACAAATAAGCGGACAATTTTCGTTTTAAATTTCCATCATCGTACTTTGTAACATTACTTTTTTGAAAAATTAGGGTGTCTCTAGTCTGTTTTTCCTATACATCAGTCCTTACTCCTTTCTCAACTTTCTTTATACAAAGATTTCGTTTTTTTCCTATTTTTGGCTGGTCATTTTAATCTTTTTAACATTTTGTAATCTCTTGGTGAACAACTCACACATACCATGGGCCTACTTTATAAGTTCAATATTTTCTTTTTTGAGGGTAAGGGCACTAGAAGTCCTAAAATTTGTGCAAAAAAGTTTTACCCATTAATTAGGATGAGATTGACCTATTTGAAAGTTCTAACACTAGGTTATACTTTTGCTATAAGATTTTGGACTGATGATACACTTAATCCTCAATATTACTTAGTTTTCTAATTTGGCGGATAAATAATGTTGCAAAGTAAAATTTTCAAATCCAAACTTAGGAGCCTTCAATTAGTTTCGAATAGCATTATGGCTTTAGGTTTAGACTTTACCTATTCAATAGCATTCCATCTTAGTTGAAAACAATCTTCATTGAAGAATCTACTTCATTGCAAATTTTTCATGCCAAAACTCCGGGGAAAATGGTCATATAGTTCTGTCGTATTCTGATTTCTACGCTAGATGCAGACCTACTTTTTTCTCCAAATTTGTAAGCAAGAGTTCTATTGAGCAATAAACATACCTGAATCTCAGTGGAAAGAACAACAATACACCTTTTCAAGTTTAATAACTATTCGACCAAAAAAAAAAAGTTCAATAACTGAATCTCAGTGAAATCCTGATGGACGTGAATGTTTGAACAATACTTTATCCCAAAATCGATAGTAGGCAGACCTCCATGATTGGATAAACACTAACGGACCAAAAAATACCCAGAAGCCAACAACGAATCCAAGTGGTCTGCCCAGGTAAAACCACTTCTTCTTGCGATCATCATTGTTGCCATCATCACTAGCTTCTTTCGTTCTGTTTGTGTTAATTGAGCAACTTTTGTTGAGCGGAAGCCCACGCAATCCAAGGTTTCCTTTGAAAGAACTTTCGGAAAATGTAAGAAATTGTCCACTAGCCGGGATGCTTCCCACAAGCTAATTGTTTGAGAGGTTCAGGAAAGAAAGGAAATTAAGATTTTCAAGCTGAGCCGGTATGTTTTTATTGAAGTAGTTTCATGACAGGTCCAACAACTCGAGCTGATGCAGATTCCCCAAAACAGAAGGAATTGAACCCGAGATGACATTATGCGATAGGTTTAGGAAATAAAGTGCTTTGAGATCCCCAAATGTGTCTGGTATTGGACCCTCCAATCTATTGCCCGAGAAGTCGATCGACGTGAAAATAGTCAGAATCTTGACAAGTTCTATCTGTAGACCTTTCAAGGTTACACTCATCGTATCTTGATAATTGAGTCCACTCAGTGGGAGGAACTCATATTCCAGGTGATTGAAGTCTACATTGGCCTTCATAGCCTCCCAAGATGCGAGGAGACTCTCAGGCAGCATGCCGCCGAAATCATTTGAAGACAGGTCAATGATTTGAAGCATCTGCTAGGTGCCGAGACTATGCGGACATCCAATTTCCCCATGAAATTTGTTGGATCTTAAAACAAGGACGCGGAGAGTTGATACAGCCTTGAAATGGCATGGAAATGTCCCATCTAGTTGATTGTCCCCGATGTTCACATACTCCAATGTTGTGCAATTTGCCAACGACATTGGAATCTACCCCTATAAAAAATTCTCACTGAAATCCAATGTCTTCAGACCACATGTTCCCGGGATGTTTTGTGGAATATCACCATTCAACTAGTTATCTCTCAGATTCGATACCTTGAGGGACTTCATCACGAAACAATCAGGAATAGTTCCATTCAGATGGTTACGAGATAAGTCGAGCACTTGAAGAAATTCAGCTTTGTAAATCGACTTTGGGATGGACCCATGGAAATTAGTTTTTGAAAGGGAGAAGAACATCGTACCCAATAGATAGTCGCCAATGTCATCGGGAATAACAGAATCGATATAGTTACTTGAGAAATCCAAATAGACACCGTGTGATGGCAAAGGTAGCATATTCCCTTGGAGCATGTTTAAATGGAGGTCGACAACAGCCAGATCAGAAGGAATATTGGGCAGAGGTGTTTCCAAATCTACAAATAAATTAGAGGAAAGATTGAGATACAATAGATCTTCTCGTGTCCATATCCATCTTGGTATCTCCCCTTGAATATAATTGTGGGAGAGGTCGAGGGAGACCAGTGTAGACTGGTTAGCCAAAAACTGAGGCAATGACCGCAATTGGCAGGAAGCCAACTTTAACGTATGAAAATCAGGGAAAGAAGATGCAGCAGCAGAAGCAGACGCCATAGTGTTAATGGACATGCCATTGTATGAAAGATCATGATAAGCTAAATTTCCAAATCCCCGAAGTGCATCGATATTCATTGAGCCACTGAAATTATTGGAAGAAAGTGAAAGGTAACCAAGCCCTTGCAGTTTGAATATGGATGCTGGTATTGGCCCCTGTAACTGATTGCTACCCAAATCAAGCATGCCCAGTTGATACGAACAGACATTCGGATATATGGTAAGCTGACCAGAAAATCTATTGTGTGAAAGGTGTATCATCTCAAGTCGGGTAAGTGTAAGCAGAGATGAGGAGATGTTGCCTTCCAACAAATTGTTTCGCAGGTCTAGATACTCAAGATTCAGAAGATCTTCCCAGCCAATAGAGGTGATCTTACCCGTTAAATCATTATGGGATAATCTTATTTGGGTCAGATTTCTGGATGCAAATGGCGGAACCGGTCCAGAAAATTGGTTAAATGAGAAGTCCAGAAGAGCCAGTAGAGGAAGTTTCACAATCGAGCTTGGGATTGATCCCCTGAAACTGCAATTTACCAGTTCTATGCTAGACAATTTCTCGAGATTACCAATGGAAACAGGAAGTGTACCTGAAATGTTTGTGTTGCTAAGAAACAGGTTTTGAAGAGAACTATGAGCAGGAAATTCCGGCAAAGGACCCCGAAGAAGCATATTGAGCGACAGATCAAGGGTCTTTAATGTCGGTGCCTGAAAGATTTCACGAGGAAATTCTCCATACAAACCACAAAAAGCTAGGCTTAGAGTTTTCAAGCTGGAAAAATTCGCTAAGAACTTAGGAACTGTGGTGTAAAAGTTATTGCCATAGAGTTGAATGACCGACAGATTAGCAAGACTCATAAGAGAAGCCTTCATAGGACCAGACAGAGAACAGTTAGACATGCTCAACACCTCAAGTTTCGGAACTGAAGAAGACAACGCGTCGCACCACCCACTTCCCTCAGCAGACACATCGACCAAATCAAGGTAGAGCTCCCTGAACTCCACCAAATCCCCAATCAGTGCCCTCAAAGAGGGCTTCTCAAGCTTCAGAAAAGCCGGATAAGAGGAAAGACAAGTGAGATCAAGAGAACGTAGCTTCCTCAGGCGAGATAGCTCCGCCGGAATCTTCCCCGCGAATCCAGCATTGGACAAGTTGAGATGTACCAAGCGGCTGAGATTTGCGATGCCTGATGGAATCGTCAAGTAGTTGAAGTAGTTGAAAGCCAAGTTCAGGCTCCGAAGGAACTCGAGCCTGAAGAGGCTTGACGAACCGTCGATTCCGCCAGAGATAGACTCGTTGCTCAAATCAAGACCAATGACGAGGCCGTCCTCGCACGTCACGCCGCTCCATGAATCGCCACTTCGGTCCCACTGTACTAGCATGGAAGACTTGGAGGCGTCGAAGACGAGGCTGTTTCTCAGCTTGAGCAAGAGCAATCTCTGGTCGACGCCGAGACACTGGGCTGAAGCTGAACCCCCAGCAACCTCGAAGGAGATGGAGATCATGGATATCGCAAGAAGAAGCCATGAGACGATCGAACCGTTCATCGGAAGAGGCTGAAGAAGAGGGCGGGAAGAGGGAGTCAACCGAAACAGAGTCCACACTTCATGGAGGAGTAGTCCGAAGTCAGTGCAAGCTGGATGTCATTAGTTATCAAATTTGACTTATTATACTTTGGAATTTACTGAGGAAAATCGCGATGCTGCCCAACACAATTACTTTCTTTATTTAACATAATTTTTCAATTAAAAGAAAATGCTATATCTTCTTTCCTAGAAAAAAAATATCATCCTTTTCTCTTCTAGAATGATGGATTGCTTTATCATGGATTGTCAGTGTGGGATGCTGACAAATTTTAAGATTCTGTTTCTCTCAGACGGACGTTCTAATCCCAATGCCATCGGAATTCCATCGAGCTCTGGAAGACAACCCGCAAAACCACTAAGTTACAATCGACTCGACCGGGTCGACCCTGGACATTTCAAATCTCCTATCTCCGTCCTACTCCTACCCATCAATTCGCTCGCTGAATGAGAACTCGCAATTCTCCCAACTGACAGAGACTCGAGTCGCTTAAAATCTCAGCACTCGACGTCGCAATGCCGATCAAATCCAAAACCCACCCACCCACAAGAGAAAACAGAGAGACCCGGAATTTCCCGAGCCCAGCGCCCGTCACATCGAGATCAATCGCGGCAAGTTCCAGCGCGACCACGACTCACCTCGGGTTGTGGAACGGGCCGACCTTGTTGTTGTAGAGAGGGACTGGGTCGCGCTCCTTGTAGCGATGGTCGGACGGGATCGATATGGCGGCCTGAGCGAAGTAGAGCACCAAGACGGCGAGGTCGAAGATCGGGGGGACCATCGTCTTCTGCCTTGGCAGTGAAGGGGCACTTATCACAAACATCGTTGGAGATATTTTGTTTAAGCTGAAGATAGAGCACAAATTTGTGTTCGAAGCTCTATCCACTGGTGATAATTTCATGTTATCTTACAGGACCTCGGTATGTTTTATCGCTCCTATTCTCCTCTCTTCTCCAGTACTCTCTCCTAAAGATTGTAATTGTTGATGAAGTTAGTTTCAGCTTAAGTGTATTTTACATCAGATAGATAAAAAATCTATTCACCCCGAAATATTTTTACATGATTATACAGTTGCTGTAAAGTTAGAATATAAAGAAAAAAGAAGGCAAACACATGAGCTGAAACTACAAGAGAGACGGCCGAATGGAGTAAGTGTTAAGAGAGACGGCCGAATGGTTCCCTCCAATGAGTTGTGCCTCAAAATCTAGTTTTACAAGGTTTAAGAAGTCCTTCCCATCGAGGGGACTTAATCTCTCCGGTTAGAGCATTGCGGGATAGCATAATATGTCTGAGATTCTTGGACATACTGAATGAAGGAACTGAACCCAATTAGATTATTCAAAGACCAGTCCAAAGCAAGTCAACTCCGAAAGGTTCCCCATTTAGGTCGGGATCGATCCACTCAAACTGCAAGTAAACGATTCTAATCACGACAAGTTTCTGAGATTACCGATTGAATCCGGAATCCTCCTTGAAATATACGTGTAACTAGAGCCTCAAGATAACTATCCTCTGGAAAATCAGCTATGAACGCTGAAAATCAGCAATCACTCAGACCAAAAATCTCCATTTTACCCAACTTTCTTATTATTTTTATATTTTGAATGATCTTGGACAATTTTTAAAAAAATAAAGACATCAGTTGGACGATATCACATGGAAACCTAATTGATCTGTGTTTATTGGTTTTTATTTTTGCATTCTTTCATATATATCACGTATTTTTCCCTTTCAAACTAAGGTGAAGTAATTATTTTGCCTATTGAATTTAAATAGTTATTGGTGGAACTCGAGGAAATTATCAAAAAAGTCATAAACTAATTGTTTTTGTACCAATTTAGTCCTAAATCTATTGACTAGCGAAGGCGACTGGCCCCCGCCTCGCCCAAACCAAGCGAGGTCATCGCGGCCCTCGCCCTTGGCTGGCGACCTCACCGGCCTAGGATTATAAAGAAAAAAGAAAAGAAAAGTTTTAAAAATTGTCGACGTTAACATCGGTCATACCACGTAGGATGGCCAACGCTAACAAAATTGCTGGGTCAGTAATTTCCGGATAAAATTGGTTGGAATGACTAACTTGGCAAATCATCAAAAGGTTTAGGACTAAATTGGCCAAATTAAAAGGTTTATGATTGAATTGACATAATTGCAATAAGTTTAGGACTTTTTTGGTAATTTTTCCAGTGGAACACATTCTTTGATTAGCCTATCACATGATTCAAATCTAAACTCCCCAGTTACATTTCCACTGTTGAAATATTTAATAGCGATGTTGGCATTTTGAGCGGAGCTTCTATTATTGTTCCCAACTCAGCAACTTAGTTTCAGAAGCATATCTAGAGAAATCTTATCAGACCAATGAAATTTGTGACGTACTGGTATCATTTCTTGATAACACTTAGGCTGCTACTCTTAGTTTGTTTTTTAGACCATGTGCTACCACATGGAACTACTCCATGACAAAATTTATGGTACGACAAAGAGCATTATATTAAATGCAGGATTTAACAATTCTAGAGAACTTACTAAATGCTAGCGCCGGTGATTGAAATTAGCAGACTTTATTTCTTATACAACATGACTTTTGACTTGAAAGCAGCAGTAATCACTAATCAGACCATTGATGAAGTCAACGAGTCACCTGGGTACCAATTGCACACACCAAGCTTAAGAATTCCATGCACTTTGTTAGAGCTGGGAAGATGGCACCCTTGGTCCAGTTTGGCGCAGTACATATATGAAGAAATTTCATGTTATTCAAGCTTGAAGAATTGTCTTTATTCAGAGACTTTCCTAGCAATAGACATACAGGTCTTGAATTTCTTAAGTCCAATCATCTTCTACTAGATGCACATCCTCAGTTCTACTTCATAGACCATTGGCAGTTTATAATGGACAATCATGGAGAGGAAAAACTATCATCTTACTCCAATCAAGCATAATAACCAAAGTTCAGCAGACGTGATAACATTGCGAAAGTCTGAACAGCAAGTCATCCCAAAACTGAAAATACACACACCTCCATGGCTGGATGAATATTAGCGTACCGCAAAAACCCCAGAATCCAACAACAAATCCGAGCGGCATGCTCATGTAAAACGACTTCATGTCAATCCAGCCATTGTCCTCGCGTTGTTTGAACCTTTGAGTTGGAACAGCATCTGCTTCTTCAGGATTGGTTTTTATTGGGCAACTTTTGTCAAGTGGAAACCCGCATAGTCCTTCGTTACCTTCAAACGAACCTTCTGAAAATGTGAGAAACTGTTTGCGTGCTGGGATATTTCCGACAAGTTGATTATAGGAGAGGTTCAGGAATGAAAGGAAATTCAGATATGAAAGCTGCACCGGAATTCTCCCATTGAGGTAGTTCTGTGACAAGTCTAGGGACTCGAGCTGCTGTATTTTTCCTAATGAGGGGGGGATAGGACCTGAGAGCACATTGTGCGACAGGTTGAGAAAATAGAGTGCTCGGAGTTCTCCCAACACTTCTGGTATTGGACCCTCAAATCTATTGCTCGAGAAGTCGATCAAGGTGAAATCAGTTAGGATCTTCATTAGTTCTAGCTGCAGACCTTTAAAAGTAAGACTAACCGTGTCCTGATAATAGAGATTGCTCAACGAAAGAAACGGATATTCAAGATGCTCGAAGTGCAAATTGACCTTCATGGCCTCCCAAGACATCAGGAAATCTTCGGGAAGCATACCACTGAAATTGTTGAAAGCCAGGTCAACAATTTGAAGCAACTTCCATGTGTCATTATTGACTGGAAAACCAATTTGCCCGTGGAATTTGTTGGAATGCAGAACAAGGACTCTCAGGTTAGATATGTTCTTCAACTGGCACGGGAATACATCCTTAATCTGATTGTTTCCAATGTCTAGCACCTCTAACATGGAGCATTTTGCCAAAGAAATTGGGAGCTTTCCTGTCAAGAGATTACCATTAACATCCAAAGTCCTCAAGAGGCATGTGCCTGGGAATGTATGTGGGATTCCTCCAGTCAGGTTGTTATTCCTTATGTTCAACACCTTCAGATTCTCCAACATTAAGCACTGAGGGATGGTTCCCATCAAATGGTTGTTGGAAAGGTCAAGTACCTCAAGATTCCAGGCTTCGCAAATTGATTCTGGGACGGGGCCATAGAAATGATTGTTTGAGAGAGAGAAGAAAATTGTGGAACGCAAGTGTTTACCAATATCATTTTGAAGTACTGAACTGAAATTGTTACTCGAGAAATCCAGGTAGGCACCATTTGGTGGCAGAGGTAATGTTTTCCCCTGGAGCTTGTTTCTGTGGAGGTCAATAACAGCCAGACTAAAAGCGAGATTAGGTGAAGGTTCTCCCAATTTATCGAAGAAATTGAACGAAAGATTGACATAAGACAGATATTTACTCTCCCATATCCATTTTGGTATCTCTCCTTGAATGTGATTGTCGGAGAGGTCTAGATGGGCTAATGTGGGTTGATATTTTAAGAATCCAGGTAACAAACTCAGCTGACAGGAAGCCAGGTTTAAAGTGTAAAGAGTAGGGAAACCGAACAAAGCAGAAGTTGAAGCAGTAGCATTAATTGACAAACGATTGTGGGCAAGATCTAGATATGTGAGGTTCTTGAGCCGCTGAAACATATCAATGTGTAATGAGCCACTGAAATTATTAGAAGAAAGTGAGAGGCAGTTAAGTCCTTGAAGTTCAAAAACATATGCTGGTATGGGTCCATCTAAATTGTTACTGCTCAAATCAAGCACGGTTAGTTGATAGCAAGTGACATTTAGAAACCCACTCAGCTCACCAGAAAACTGATTGTTGGACATTTCTATGGTCTTGATTGAAGGAAGTTTAAAAAGAGACGGGGGAATGCTGCCCTCCAGTGAGTTGTACCGCAGATCTAGATTTACAAGGCTTAGAAGTTCTTCCCATCGGGTGCACTTAATCTCTCCTGTTAGAGCATTGCGGAATAGTATAATCTGTCTCAGAATCTTGGACTTACTGAACGAAGGAACTGAACCGGTAAGATTATTTAAAGACAAGTCCAAATAAGTCAGCTCTGACAGGTTCTCCATTGAGCTTGGGATTGATCCACTCAAATTGCAATTAAACAATTCTAATCTCGACAATTTTCTGAGATTACCGATTGAATCTGGAAGCCTCCCTGAAATATTCGTGTCACTCAGGAGCAGAGTCTCAAGAGAACTGTCCTCCGGAAAATTGGGCAAAGAAACATGAAGAAGTTGGTTCAATGATAGGTCAAGGGTCTGAAGTGTCTGCAGCTGAAAGATTTTACGAGGAAACTCTCCATACAACCCACAATAACTCATATGCAGAGCGGTTAGATTGGGGAATCTGGCGAGGAACTCAGGAACTGTGGTTGACAGGTTGTTGCCATTGAGTTGAATGAATGACAAATGATGAAGATTCACTAGGGAAAAGTCGACAGGACCAGAGAGAAAGCAATAAGACATGCTCAGCACCTGAAGTTTTTGCACTGAAGAGGACAATGCATTGCACCATTCACTTCCCTCGGAAGAAAGGTCAACGCCATCAAGATGTAACTGTATTACCTCCGTTAGGTTTCCGATCAAGGTCTTCAAATTGGGATTCTTGAGCTTTAGTGTATCAAGTCCAGAAAAATAAATAAGAGAAAGATCGAGAATACCTAACTTCCTCAAGCGCGCTAACTCTATTGGAATCTGGCCAGAGAATCCAGCATTGGACAAGTTCAGATAAACCAGGCCACTGAGGTTTGTGAAGCCAGACGGAATTGCAGAGGATTTGAAATCGTTGAAAGCCAGGTTTAGCTTTTGAAGATGCTTCAGTCTAAAGAGACTCGACGAACTGTTAATATTTGAAGAGATTGATTCGAAGCTCAAGTCTAGACCGATGACCTTTCCATCCTCGTTGCACGTCACACCATTCCAATGGCGAGCGTTCTGATTCCACGTAACCAGCTTAGAAGACACGGATGCATTGAACACAAGGGTATTTTTCAACTCAACGAGCAACAATTCTTGATCGCCGAGACATGGACTAGAAGCCAATACCAAAAAGATTCTGAAAAAATTGGTGCATATGAATGGCAAGAGAAGCCACAACAACTGCAAGGTTCTCATTGAGTGCAAACTTCAATACTCTTTTGCAGAGTTTGCGAGTGAACACATACAAGGAGGAGTTTTGTTTTTAATGGAAAGCAGATAAACATGAACCTCCTTGGATGGGATTTCAATGGAGCTGTGTTACTCTTTGGTCAAATTCTTATCACGTCGTATCATTATGTTGACTGGACTTGTGAATGCAAATTCGTCAAACCACTTGATTGAGCCAGTGGCGGCCTTCGGTGGTTCTTGACTGCTGACGAAGAAAAGCCAAGAAAGAAAAAACAAGAGCATCTCTTTCCCTCGGTCATCATTCCCCGCCTTTCTACAGTACAAGCTCCCCTCTAGAGAGCAGATATTCATATAGCCTCCAATTTATATCTACAAGGTTCATTGTAATCAGGACCTGATTTTCTGTTTAATGTTCACTATCGGGAAAATAAAGGAAATTAAAGGAGGAGCTCTCAGACTCGTTTTCCTGTTACATTTGGACTGATCTTCGCAAATTAAGTGATCCGTGTTTCTTGGTCTTTACTTTTGCATTCTTTCCCATATGTCAGATTTTACTCCTTTCAAACTAAGGTCAAGTCCTTACTGTGCCTATTGAATTTACTATTGATGGTCGAACAATTTTTCTGATTATCCTGTCTCAAGATTCAGAGCTAAGCTCCTGAGGTACATCATTGCTGCCTTTGAAATATATAATAAATATATTGAGATTTCGAGCAACGGTGCACTACTACTATTACTGTTCCAAGTTCGTCTGCACTATCATGAACCTCGTGAGGTTGCGAGATTCTTCAATGATCTCCCTAAGGATGTCAAGTTCGATATTGGCTCGAGCTTCTTGACCGAGTAATTCGGGCGAGTGGCCAGATACCATCGGAACAAATGGCGCATGAAATGGACAGGGATCGAGCACGAGTTCTTCGGCAACCCTTGGTCCGGCTACTACTGCTTTCATTCTCAATGTTTTTACCATCAGTAAGGCCTTCTGTTGAGGATAAAGGGCAAGCGAATCGGATAAAATAGTCGAAAGGAAGGAAAGGAAATTGGACATCGGATTTACGTGGTTCGGTCCAAATATTGGAACCTATGTCCACAGAGAGAGCAGCACGGAATTTCATTATAGAAACAAGCGATATAATAGAAACTACAATCACTCGAGCACTCATACACAGTCTCGGTATTTTCCAGCCCCCAATTACATCAAATAACTCACTCAGTGTTTAGCCCTTCACAATTCATAGTGAAATCTCACTCAAGGAACTAAAGAAATTCTACTCACAAGAATTTATTTGGCTAAATCACTACAGAGTATAATTACAACAAGCAAACACCCACGAGAAGAACTCTCTGCACAATCCTCCTCTGTGCAGTCTCAGAGTTCTCTCTTCTCCCGGTGCTCAAAGACACACTTTGTCCTTCATCCTTCTATGCATTTTATGAAGAATAGAAGTTGCCAAAGACAAATCAAGCCGCAACTTCGGCGCCTCCCACATTTACTGCAAGAGTCGTCTTTATAAGAAGAAATTTAGATTGTATGAAGCAAAGAAGTCATCAGAGAGTTAATGAAAAAGAACAAAAGAAGCCCACACCTTTTCTCTTTAATACATGAAGAGCTCTCCTTAGCTCTTCATTTCTTCTCCTTCTCGGTCAAAGTCAATGAGCCGTCATTGTTCTCCTCTCTTCGGAGAACGAAGTCAAAGAAGCTGCTCATTTTCTTCTTTCTTCCTCCATTCATTTAATGCATGGGTGCATGACCTTGAAGATGGCCATCACATGCATTCTTTAATACATGAAGAAAACATTCAAAGAAATCCTTCGGCACCCACAATCAAAAATTTGATGAGCAGGTGAAACGGGCTTCTCTTTTCAACATATATATGAGCAATAAATGCACCACGTGCGGATCGGGTATCGTACATGGGCTCAAACTCGAGACGTATTTTAACACATTCTTCGTCACTTACGCATATTATCATCCTAAGAATTAACCAACCTCAACAACTCAGTTACAGAAACATAACTAGAGAAATCTTATCAGACTAAATAATTTGTGACATGGCTGGTTTCATTTCTTGATATCGCTTCGGCTGCTACCCTTAATTTAATTTAGATTGCTTAAAACTTACATCTTCGTTGCAGTTAGATCATTTGCGACCACTTGGAACTAGTCCGTGACACAATTTAACGTATGATGGAGAGCATTACGTTACTATTAGGATTTAACATTTCGAGAGAACTTACTAAATCTTAACACAGCCAATCGAAATTAGCATCCTGTATTTCATGTACAACATGATAGTTGACAGGAAAGTATCAGTAATCACTAATCAGACCATGGATGAAGTAGTCAACCCAAAAGCTGCATGCCCCACCTTTGGTCCGGTTTGGCGGGTACACACTTGAAGAATTTCTCCATTATCCAAACTTGACAAATGTTCTTGATTGAAGGACTTTCCTTCGGTAGATAGACAGAACAGGTCTTAAAATTCTTAATATAGTCATCTTCTCCGTTGACCATTGACAATTATGGATAAGAAACACATTAAACTACTCCAATCATGCGTAACGACCAAAGTACGTGCAATAGCTTTCAGTTGACTTGACTAGAGAATGCAAAATTGTCGTTTCAATGGTGCTCGATGGTCCGCTGATTTCTGAAATTCCGTTTACGAAAAGAACGGAATTTGTTCCGTCAACGGTGAATACATAATAACTTCCGGTTGTAAATTCAAAACACTTTTCTTAAGTAAAACATGACCAATAATTTGTTAGTTCAGTCAACTATTTTTAAATTACTAATGGATTAACAATTTTACGATCGGCAACTCCAATGGTACCACTTAGTAAAATGACAAGCAAATCAACATTTTTCAACGGCATTTAATCCACATGAGAATGTGACCCCAAAAAAATTCCACATGAGAAAAAATTCATCACTAGAATGGCTCAAAGCTGGACAGAGACCCTTGTGCATAAGTATGAGAATCATTTTGAACAAAAGAGAAGTAAAGGAACGATTTCAAGTAAGAAAAGTTGGACACTGTTTGTGATAGCTACTTTGAATTTTTTTTTCCCTGTTTAATATCCTTCCAGTTATAAAGAGGATAAGTTTTTGGACAATTCTAGCGTTCAGTGAAACAAAGTACGGAATACATGTTCTTTGTTGTTGAATTCGTGACAACTGTAAAACCCCATTGGTAGCAAAAGTTGACAGGCGATTTGCTTGTCTCTCACACGGTATTAACTTACAACCATTTTTAGAGAAGTACCATTTGACTCTTTCAAATGATCGCCTATTCTCTGACCAAATAAATAAATAAATTATCGCCTATTCCAAAAAATAATTACCAATGTTTAATTTCTTAAGTTACCAATTTGTTAAAGTTAATAACTTTTACATGAGACTGCCAACCTTAATTTCAGTTACTCGCCAGCATTTACTTTATTTTTTCAATTTACCAATCCTATCAACGAGCCAAATACTAGCGTGATATACTTACCACGCAACTGTCGATAATTTTATATAAGAGTCAGTAGCTTCATACTTTCGTAAATTTTCAGAACAACTACTAATCAACAAATAATCAAATGAAGGTTGGTAACTGAGTTAAAATAAAGTTAACAATTACATATAAAAGTTTGTAACTTACGTTCCACCAATAGATAATGGTTATTGTTGGAATAGTTGGTAATTTTAAAAAGAATTATCATTTCCTTTAAGAATTGATAAATTTAACTCATTGATGAACTCCCGAATTAATAATCATAAGTTATCCAAACAGTATGAAATAATGAAAATAAAAAATAAAGTGGGTGGTAGGCTCCGATAAAAGTTGGTAGCTCAAACAACTTGCGATAAGTTCATCACATTTTCCAACCGTCACCAATCATCGCTATTGGAGCCTACCGCCACCAAGTCCGCCACTCCTGCTCGTGTCTCTAACAATCCAATCCTTGTCTTTTACATTTTACTTTCCTGTTTTTTTTTATAGAACATAATTAATTTCCTTTGATTTTAACATTATTGACTTTTACCTTTTTTTATAACAAGAAAGATATCATCTTAGCATACCACATCTAACATACTAAGAGTTATTTAAGAAGGACTTGATTGAGAATTGGGTAGAGTTTTTTTTTTTTTTTTTTTTTTGTGTAACCGAGGATCCGCCACCATTCCTCAAGGACGAGCCCGCATAGGTAATCGGGGCGCCTATACCTCGGGGGAGACTAGCCCAGCAACCCACCGCCAGGACCCCCCACTTAAATTACGGAACCGAGCGGGGATTCGAACCCAGAACCTCTGGGGAGGGAAGGAAAGCGCCCACCAACTCGGCCATGCGCAGGTGGATAGAATTGGGTAGAGTTAGAGGAGTTGATTCCAAATAAAAAAATTGAAGGATCAAATTGCACAAGCAACTAAAGTGTAAATACTCTAGATGCAGATCAATAAACAGAAGTCTTTTTAAAGGTGATGGAGAATTATGAAGAGAAGAACAAAAGGAAATACTCTTTTTCAAGTTTAATAACTGAACCCCGGGGGAAATCTTCATGGACGTGAATGTTTGAACAGCACTTTATCCCAGAATCGATAGTAAGCAAACCTCCACGATCTGATAAACGCTAATGGACCACAAAATACCCAGAAGCCAACCACGAATCCAAGCGGTATGCCCATGTAAAACCACATCTTCCCGCTATCATCATTGCTGCCGTCGTCATCTGTGTTGCTTTGAGTAGGAACACAACCCGCTTCTTCCGTCCCATTCATGGCAATTGACCAAGTTTTCTCGCGCGGATTCTCGCACGATCCAAGGTTACCTCCAAAAGAACTTGAGCAACTTGTTTCCAGCGGTGGTCCACACAAACCGCTATTGCCTTCGAAGGAACTTGCTGAAAATGTGAGAAATTGTTTGACTGCTGGGATGCTTCCCACAAGTTTATTGTATGAGAGGCTCAGGAAGGAAAGAAAATTAAGGTCTGAAAGCTGTGTGGGAATCGTCCCATTGAGGTCGTTCCGTGAAAGGTCCAAGGACTCGAGCTGTTGCAAGTGTCCTAGGAATGAAGGAATTGACCCGGAAAATGCATTCCTTGATAAGTTGAGGACATGAAGCGCTTTGAGATCCCCCAGAGTATCAGGTATTGGACCTTCTAAATTGTTGCATGAGAAGTCGATTGAAGTGAAAAGAGTCAAGATCTTCACCAGCTCCACTTGCAGACCTTTGATGGTGACGCTTCCCGTGTCCTGATAATAGAGTCCAGAAGCGCGAAGGAATGGATATTGGATATAGTTGAAGTCTGGATCAGCCTTCATAGCCTCCCAAGTTCTGAGGTATTGAGCAGGCAGAGTGCCACTGAAATTGTTGGAAGATACGTCCACAATTTGAAGCATCTTCCAAGTGCCATTAGGCTCTGGACATCCAACCCCTCCATGGAACTTGTTGGATCGTAAAACAAGGACACGTAAACTTGAAATGTTCTTCAATTGACATGGAAACACGTCATCAATCTGGTTGTTTCCCACGTCTAAAACCTCCAGAGTTGTGCAATTTGCCAACGACTCTGGGAACTTCCCTTGTAATAGATTACTGCTGAGATCCAAAGTCTTCAAACCACATGTTACAGGGAAATTGAAAATGCTACCATCCAAGGCATTATTTCGCAGATTTAATACCTTGAGAGACTCCATCACTAAGCAATCAGGAATATTTCCCGTCAAATTATTATGAGATAGGTCGAGCACCTCGAGATATTCAGCTTCGCAAATTGATTTCGGGATAAACCCCTGGAAACTGTTATGGGACAGGGAGAAGAATATTGCCACAGAAAGGTTCGTTCCAATAGCAGATGGAATGAATGAAGTGAAGTTGTTACTCGAGAAGTCCAAGTGTGTGGCAAATGGTGGCAAGGGCAACACTTGCCCACGGAGCCTGTTCTTATGGAGGTCAAGAACAGACAGACTAGAAGTAAGAATACGTGACGGTATTTCAATATCGTCTAGTAAATTAGACGACACATTGAGATACAGCAGATTTTGAAGCTCCCATATCCATTTCGGTATCTTTCCCTGAATTTGATTGTCAGAGAGGTCTAGATTTGTCAATCTGTGTTGCTCAGCCACGAACTCTGGTAAAGTCCTCAACTGGCAAGAAGCTAACTTCATAGTTGTAAGATCATGGAATGAAGATGCCTGGGTAGTAGTATTTGTGGTATTAACGGAAAAACGATTGTAAGAAAGATCCAAATGAGAAAGATTTTTCAGCTGGTGAACCATATCAATATGGAACGAGCCACTGAAATTATTGGAAGAAAGTGAGAGGTACTTGAGCCCTTGGAGTTCCCATATAGACATCGGCAGTTCTCCTCCTATATTGTTGTTGCTCAAATCAAGTGTATCCAGGTTGTCCGATTTACCATTAAAAAATGCCTTCACTTCACCAGAAAATTGGTTGTTGGAAAGTTGAAGCTTCTGAATCGATGGAAGTGTGAACAGAGATGAAGGAATATTTCCTTCAAGCAAATTGAATCGCAGGTCAAGAACAAGAAGACTCAAGAGGGATTCCCATTGGGTTGAATTAATCTGACCAGTTAGGTTATTGTGGGACAAATTGATTTGTGTCAGATTCTTGGACTTACTGAGAGATGGAATTGAACCAGTAAAATTGTTGAATGAGAAGTCCAAATAGTCTAGTTGCAAGAGATTGATGAAAGAGGTTGGGATATTTCTATGAAAGCTGCAATTCACCAATTCTATTCTTGACAGATACCTGAGATTACCAATTGAATATGGGAGCCTCCCAGTAATATGCGTGAAACTAAGAACCAGTGTCTGAAGAGAACCATTCTCCCGAAATTCTGGTAAAGAACCCTGAAGGAGTTCATTGAATGATAGGTCAAGGGTCTGAAGAGTTTGTACCCGGAAGATTTTTTGAGGAAATTCTCCCTGCAGGCCAGAGTAACGGAGATCCAGAGTAGTTAGATTGTAGAAGTTGGCAAAGGACACCGGGACGGTGGTAGACACTAGACAGATTATTTTTTCCCAGTTTAATTACTGAGAGAAAGCGAAGATGCACAAGGGAAGAGCAAGACTCAATGGGACCTGATAAATAACAATTCATCATGCTCAACACTTGAAGTTTCGGCAGTGACAAAGACAAGGCATTGCACAATTCATTGCCTGTAGCAGAGACGTTCACTCCGTCAAGGTACAACTCTCTCAGCTCGCTAAGATTCCCAAGAAGCATCCTTAGATTGGGATTCTCAAGTTTCAGTGACTTGAGCCCAGGAAAATAAAGCAGGGATACATCAAGAGTAACCAACCTTGTCAAACATGATATTCCAATTGGAAGCTGTCCTGCGAACCCTGCATTTGAAAGATTCAAGTAGACCAAGTTGGTGAGATTACCGAAGCCAGATGGAATCTCCAAAGACGGGAAGCTGCTGAAAGCCAAATTCAGCCTCTGAAGATAATTGAGTCTGAAAAGACTCGATGAATCATCAAGTCCACCGGTGATCCACTCGTTGCTCAGATCAAGACCCGTGACTTGGCCACCTTTGCAGGTCACGCCATCCCAAGAATCATTGCTTTGATTCCATTTGACCAATTTCATGGACAAAGAAGTGGAGAAGTTGAGGCTATTCTTCAATTGCAGCAGCAGCGATTTCTGATCGCCAATACACTGGCCCGAGACCAAAACCGTGCCTATGCTGAAGGGGTTGGTATGTGCGAGTATTAAGACCAACCATAGGAGGAGCCAAATCCTCATTTGTTTCGAACAGATTAGGAAACACTATTTTACAGGCAGATGAACATGGAAGTTCCTTGTATGAGATTCCTCTGGAGCTGTGTTTGGTCTTCTTATCACATCCTATCATTAATAATTTAGTCCCTACGTGTGACTATCTTAAGTTGACTTGACTTGCAAATGCAAATTCATCTAGTCATTTTGGTTGAGCTTGTGGTGGCCTTCGGTGGTTCTGAACCGTTGATGAAGAAAAGCCAAGAAGGAAAAAACAGGAGCTACTCTTTCCCTTGTATATCCTTACCTGCTTTCTACAGTACAAGTGCCCTTCTAGAGAACAGGTATTCATTTCGCCCCCATTTTATTTCTACAAGGTTCATTGTCTTTGGAACCTGATTTTCTGATTAATGTTCCCCGTTGGGAAAATAACACACTCAAAGATGGAGCTCTCAAGACTCATTTTCATGTTACATTTTGACTGATCTTCGAAAATTAAGGAAAACGGAGACATCAGTCGGAGGACATCACCAATAAAACTGAGTGATTCTTGTTTCTTGGTCTTTACTTTTGCATTAATTCCCATATATCGGATTTTTTTTCCTTTCAAACTAAGGTCGTGTCCTTATTGTGCCTATGGACTGTACGATCTAAGGTCAAACAATTTCTCCGATTATCCTCTCTCGTGATTCAGAGCTAAACTCCCGAGGTACATTTCCGCCTTACAAATATTCAAGCAATGTTGGGATTTCGAGCAACGCTACGTTGCTATTGTTTGTGTTCCAAGCATGTCTCCTCTAAAGCGATCCTTGTGAGATGTCTCGTGAGTACAAATTTTCTGGATACTGACCAGGAGGTTGCGAGATTCTTCAATGATCTCCCTCAGGATGTCAGGTTCAATATTGGATCGAGCTACTAGACCGAGTAAATCGGGATACTAGCGGAACAAATGGTGTGTGAGATGGACGGGGATTAAGCTCGAGCACTTTGGCAGCCCATGGTCCTTCATTACGGTTACTGCTGCTTTCATTCTCTTTGTTTTTACCATCGTTAAGGCCTTCTTCACCATTTATGTGCTTTATCGTCCCGAGAACTAACCAACCTCGGGAACTCAGTTTCTGAAAAATATTTAGAGAAATCTTATCGGACCAATGAAATTTGTGACATGCCCGGTTTCATTTCTTGATATCGCTTCGGCCGCTACTCATAATTGGTTTTAGAATGCTTAAAACTTACATCTTCATTGCAGTTAGATTATGTGCCACCACATGGAACTAGTCCATGACAGAAGAAGAGCATCATATTAACCCTAGGATTTGACATTTCTAGAGATCTTACAAAATGTTATAGCAGTCAATCGAAATTAGCATACCATAATTTTCAGACAACGCGATTGTTGACTTGAAAGCAGCAATAATCATTAGTTAGGCCCTGTTTGGTTCAGCATTCCAAATGCTCATTTGGGCTCTAAAGTCCCTTGGCCAAATGCAAATGATGTTTAGCAATTTTTTTTACTCACTTTGGGGAAATGCAATTGCATTTGGAATGCTCCCCAAGGGTCCTTTGGTCAATGCTCCACCGGAGGTGCTTTGGGAAGTTGTATTTTCGGAATGCAACTTGCACTATTCATTGACACGGTTCATCTTCCCCAGACCGAGGTCCGGCGGCCGGTGACCGTCGCCTGAGGGCTAGCCCGACTCCGGTGACCACCGCTTGGGGGTCGCGCGACCCCGGCGACCGCCGCACGGGTCGCTCCCGGACCTCGGGTGGTCGCGCGACCCAGGCCAACGCTTGGCCGGGTCGCGCGACCCTGCGACCGTCCGAGGTCCAACGACCCGAGGCGGCGGTCGCCGGGTCGCGCGACCCCCAGGGCGGCGAGTCGCTGAAGGGTCGCACGACCCGGCGACCGCAACACGGGGTCGTCGGACCTCGGCCGATCGCCTGGGTCACGCGACCCCCAGGCAGCGGTCGCCGGGGTCGCGCGACCCCAGGCGGTGGTGGCCGGCGACCAGATCTGGTCGTCGGCGGTTGGCCGGCGACCAGATCTGGCCGGCGGCGGTGGCCGGCGGTGTAGCTCCACCGGAGCCTTTTTTTTAAAATAAAAAATTAGTAAAAGTTCTTTAGCCCAAGTTGATTTTAAAAAATACTTACCAAACACTACTTGTATTTCGGAAAATCTCTTTAGCCCAAAGGTATTTGCATTCTCCAAATGCATTCTCCCAAAGTCGAATCAAACGGGCCCTCATGCCAATGATGCAGTGAACCTGGTTCATGACCACGAACTGAGCAGGAATTCGAAGAGCCCAAAATTTCCACGCACCTTCTTACTGCTGGGAAGATTGCACCATTGGTCCAGTTTGGCGGGCACACGAGCGAAGAATCTTTACTCAACACCCACCAACCAACACTCTCCACCTGACCTTAACCCCTCACCCCAACCCCCCCCATTTTTAACCTCACTCCTCTCTCTCTCTCTCTCTAGCCTCTGCACACACACTCTCTCTCTCTAGCCTCTGCACACACTCTCTCTCTCTACTCTCTCTCTCTCTCTCTCTCTCTAGCCTCTGCGCGCAGACCCACTTCGCGAATTCGTCTCCGGCTGCTCTGCAGTGTCCGATTCCCCCGTAAAGTTCCGACAATAGACAATTATGGAAATGAAAGACAATTGAACTTTACTCCAATATAGCATGACGACCAAATTACACGCAATAGCTTTCAGTTGACTTGACTAAAGAATGCAAATTTGTTGTTTCAGTGGAGCTCCCCGATTCAGTGATTTATAAAAATTCTGTTGACAGATAAAACGGAATTTATCTGTGGATGGTAATTACGTAAGGTCGACGATAAGTAAAAAGTGATCGGTAGATTATTGATTCGGTTAACCATTTGAAATTATCGATGAAACAACAATTTTATCCTCGACAAACTCAACGGTATATTACCACTTGTTTTTAGAATTTACAAATGGACGTGTAAGTAAATGTTACTAATGAAATAACCACTTTATCATCCACAAATCTGATGGTGGATTAACACTTATTTTTATATTTTACAAGTGGTTGCATAACTGTTTGTAAGTTGCCAATGAAGGAACAATCTTACTATCCACAAACCTCATGATAGAAAATCATTTATCGTGCTTTAATTTAGATTTGAGTAGTGAATATACAACTAGAATGTTTATGGTTATAAGTCACAAATATTGTTGCAAAATATCATCAATATACATGATCAGCAAGTTGCGCAATTTTACCATCGTTTTTTGAAACTTGATGAATGGTACTACGAATTTACTAATGAAAGGAGCGTCATTATGCGTGGGCCAAAAGGGAATGTTAAACACTTCTTCGTGATTATTAAACAACTCATCATGATCGAGAAACAAGAAAAGACCCACCCTTCCCTTGTCTCAACATGGCGAGTTTCCTTTGGGAGTGGTAGTCGCCAGCTCAACGAGCAAAGGAACGTCTTTAAGAGTGCGATTATTTCGCGGAAAACTCAAAATTAGAAATACATTTTCTAATTACAACCAAGCATAACGACCAAAGTACATGCAATAGTTTTGGGTTTGATAAATTGAAATATACATTATTTGTGTTTGATTTTGGGTCCCTTCTACAAGGATTCAACACAGCTTAAATAGCTAATACAAAATGTTATCGCTCCTAAGCGGTTGATATTCAAAATAGGAGTTATAACTCCACCTTCGTGATTTTAGGCTCCGTGATCAAGCTCCATAACTGCATGCTTACCTTATTTATAAGCGGTTACAACTTTTTTAGTTGTCATTGCACTCAACTTTCAACTATAACTCCGTGACTTTAGGCGGGAAAATTTAACAAATAGTCATAAACCTATTGCACTTTTGTCAATTCAGTCATAAACTTTTCAATTTTGCCAATTGAGATATAAACCTTTCACGTTTTGCCAATTAAATCCATCTGGCCAATTTTGGCTGGAAAATCGCTGACATGGATGCCGACCAGCCTACGTGGCATTGCCGACACTGACGTGGACAATTTTTAATAATATTTTAATATTTTTCGAATTTTTTTATTTTCCTTTTCTTTTTTCTTGTTCTCTTTTTTCCTCTGCTAGCCACCACCGGGCCTTGTCAATGGGTGGTGATCCGCCAGGCGAGGGTTGCCCTTGCTAGCCTCGGGCGAGGGATGCCCGGGCTTGGGCGAGGGTTGCCCTCGCCGAGGTGACCGTGGGCCACCCTCTCCTAGGCAGGCGACGGCCGCCCTCGCCTGCCCAGGCGTGGTCCCGAAACAGGAGTTCGGTAAAAAGGTGAGATGGTACAATCTTCTAGATCAGGTCTCGAGCTGATGATGACAAATCAAACAAAATTAAGGTGAAGAGAAAACTGCTTACTGAGGATTCACTTGTAAATTGGTATGGTAAAAATCGTTCCTTTTTGCCCTTTTCTTCTTTGCTTTTCTGGATACCAGTTTTGATCTGATGACAGAGAGACCGCGGGATTGTCTGCAAGCTTCGGTGTGCAGAGGAACCCTGATGGTGAATGAGAGATGAGATATTATTAGGGTAAATTGATTAGATTATGGTGATGGGTGTAGACTTAATTTTGTTTTTTTCATCGAAAGGTTTCCTGTAAATGTCCAAAGAGAATACAATGTCACTGTGTTGAGTGTGGCAGAATATGGAGATTAGGGGTGAGCATGGTTCGGATGGGTAGTTTCTACATTGTTCCTACTCTTGAATTGAGAACCGCCACTAAGGACCGGTTCCGAAAAATTGAAACTGCTAACCGCCCGTTGGTTCCATGGACCTGCTCAATAACCGCACCGCACGGTCCGGTTCCCAAGTAAATCCATAGAATCGATCGAAATGTTTTCAACAAATTCATGCAGTGCACTGACAATTTTCAAACTGAAAATCAAGGACTTATTCTCATCTAGGTACTACATGCATTCAAGTGAAACGACAGAATCATAAGTAGAACAAGACACAATAGCACAAGAACTATTGCAAAAAAAAAAAATTTGATCCGTTTTCAGGGAAAAAATTTTCCATCTGATTTGCTAAATTGGGGTAAGAAGGATTTGGAGATGGTCTTGAAGATCTTCAAGTCAATAACCAACCATTAGCACTAGCGGAAAAAGAAGAAAAAAGATAATATTTTGAAACTTTATTTTACTCTGTAGTTGTTTAGTACACAACAATTTTATCTTAATTTATTCAACATATGCTTCTTGCAGGGGAAATGCTACCATTGAAAAAGTTGCTTCCATAAAACAATAAGGAAAACAAGAGAGTAAAAATACACCAACATAACTCTTAAGTGAAGACTAGCTAAAAGAATGGCAGGAGAAAACCAAGAGACAGACAATGAGAAGGGAACCTGTTGAATGTGATTAGTAGTGACGTCGTTGGGGTAATAAGGGTGCGCATGAATACCATTCTGTGTCCGGGAGCTATTTCTGAACAGAAATGATTTTTTTTTATTCTGTGCCCGGAAACAATTTCTGAGTATTTGAAGGTGTTTGATAAACTGTCCAAAATTTCTATTCCTAGAGTAGAAAAGAACAGAAATGCGTCTGGTAACTACACAAAATTTCTGTTCCCAAATAATATTTTAATAATATTTTGAATTGTTTAATTTTTATTTTCTTTTTACCCATTTTCTTCTTTGGCCATGGCCGATCGCCGGCGACCGGCCACAGCCCAAGGCCGGCGAGGGCGTCACGGCCCTCGCCGGCGAGGGCCGTGACGCCCTCGCCGGCCCTGGGCTGTGGCCGGTCGCCGGCGGCCGGCCCAGCCCAGGGAAGAACAACACAAAAATAAGAAAAGAAAAAAAAAAGAAGAAAAAAAACTGATTCTCAAAATTGTGCCGAGAAATAAGAAGCAACTTTTTTTTACTTCTTGTTTCTCTTCCAAAACTGTTTCTCGGCACAAATTTTTGCAAAAATGTGCCTAGGAACAAAAAGTTTACCAAACGCATTTCTGTTCCCAAACTATTTCTGGAAACAAAAGAACAGAAATTTTCACTATTTGGCACGTTACCAAACGGGCCCTAAGCTGCCATTATGAGCTGCTTCTAGTTTTGCATCAGGTGCTTCTAACTGAATATTTTATAAATATATATGTGATATATTTATGTATATATAACGGTCCGGTCCGAGTGGGCGGGTGGGCGATTCCATATCAGGAACCGGGAACCGGACCAGTCCCCATGGGAATCGCCGGTTCTGGGCCGGATCAGTCCAGTTCGGAGCGGTCTGGGCGGCTCCTAATTCCTTCACACACCCTGAATGGAAATGCCTCACCTATAATTTTAATGGTGGTGAGGAGGAATTTTTCTTTTTTCTTTATGAAAATGGGTCCCATCATTGGATGCCTCATCGGGCATCCCTCGCTCGAGGCCAGCGACCGCCAGCCATCAGCGAGGCCCGGTAGAGGGAAAAAGGAAAAAGGAAAGAAAAGAAGGAAGAGAGTAGAAAATAAAATAAAAATTAATAAAATTTCGAAAAATATTAAAATATTATTAAAATTATTCATGTCAGCGACAGCCGAGCCACGCAGGCTGGCATCCATGTTAATAATTTCTGGTCAAAATTCGTTAGATGGACTCAATTGACAAAACATGAAAAAAAAATTTAGAACTCAATTAGCAAAAGTGCAATAAGTGTAAGACTTTTTAGACAATTTTCCCACTTTAGGCTACACGATTGCCCTCCACAATCGCATGTTGATTTTTCTTTACAAGCTGTATATGACTCATCAATCGGTGTCTTTATTGAATCCAATGTCTGCCTATAACACTTTACTGAATTTATCTAAGTGTCAATCGTCGACTGGTTGTTATTAGGGGTGAGCGGTTCCCGGTCCAATCCGGTTCAACCAAAGAATTGGGAATCAAACCGGGAGGACCGGTTCCCAGTTTCTAGGATCAGGGACCGGACCGGCTAGTCTTGGGACCGTGGACCGGATCGATCTGGTCTGGTTCCAATGGGACCAATCACTTATTGGTAAAGGCAAGAGGGAATTGGGGAAATTAGATTAGGCTTTCTATTTTTTCAAAAATTTTAAAAAGTAAATAAATATATATATATGAAAAAATTAGAAAAATATATATTTATCAGTCCGGTCCGGTCCGGTTCTCACCCTAGAATCGGGAACCGAACCCGGTAACTGGTTCCACTTTTAGGAACCGAGAACCGGACCGATATTCCCAAGAACCAAACGAAACCGATCCGGTCCGGTCCTGTCCCAATTTGGGCAGTCCATCTTGCTTAGCCCTAGTTGTTATCGTATTCAATAACTATTCTATGGTCATCAATATTTAGGAATAAGAACACGACAAGTATCATAACTTTTGAACTATACTCACTCAAGTGTCATAATTTTTTTTCGACCATTTGAGTGTCATAACTTTTGAAAAATGATTACTTAAGTATTATGACTTCCAATTGATCACTTGAATGCCGAAACTTAAACATTCACTTGGGTGCCATAACTTTTAATTGATCACTTTTTTTTTTGGTCGACAATACGCTTAGCTTTCATTAGACACTTGAAACTGATTCACATGAGTTTCCACAATCATAACATAAGAGAGACCACAGGATACGTGGAGGTTTAGAAATCCAGTTTGGAGTTAAGGAATTAGTACGCTGGGCCTTCGCCACCCAATCCGCGGCCTGGTTGGAATTTCTGGAACAATGGGCTAAGGATACCCCTTTTAGTTGGGCCATCAATTTTCGGCAATCTTCAACCACTGAACTCACGGTCCACGGACTTTCTTCTTGGCCCGAAATCCACCTCACGCACGCTTAGCTGTCAGACTCCATTTCTATGCACACATCAGAGAAGTCACTGTACAGATCACTTTCCCTTTCCTTTTGACTTCGAAGCTTCAACAGGAAAGAGAGTCCTTCGCGTAGAGCAAGAGTTTCCGCCACGCTAGCTAATGAGGCTTTAAAATTCCTCGCGAACCCAGAAATTATGAGTCCATCTTGGTTCCGGAGGACTCCCGTAGCTGCAGCCTCTCGTGTTTCACTGCACCAAGCTGCGTCGATGTTCAATTTGAGGTTCTCCTTCGCCGGCGGAGACCAACGATCTACTAAGGTTTTCACCTTTTGTGGTCCTTCCTTTTTGTTAGTGTTCCACCTCTCAAACACTTTATAGTCGCTAATTGCTTCTTCCACTATGTTCCATGGGTTCGGTTTGCGCTGCTGGAATACCAAGGCGTTTCGTGCCTTCCAAATCAACCAGATCATGCCAGCCAAGATCGCCGACGAGGGAGGGTCTTCCGACGAGGAAAGGGTGTCACACGACGATAGGTAATCCGCAAGCCACTTGTCCATTCTGGAGATTTTGGTAGCTGAGGTGTCTAGATTTAACCGAGAGTCTAACCAAACATTTCTTGTCCAGTCGCAAAGGAGGAGGAGGTGTTCGGGAGTCTCCGGGACTCAGCGGCAAATTGGGCAGAGAGGATCAGGCGCCATCTTTCTTCTGTACAGATTTTCTTTTGTCGGTAGAGCATTTGTGCATATGCTCCATAAGAAATGATGAACCTTGGGGTAGACTGGGATTTGCCATATTTTAGTCCATAAGTTCCTGGGAGGCTAATATGATGACGATGCCTGATTCATCTGTTGTTGCGAAATTTGGGAGCATAACCTATTGTAGCCACTTTTAACCAAATAGACTCCTTTTTTGTTCCCTGTCCACACCAAAGTGTCCTCCGAGGGGTTTGTGCTTAGTGGGATTGTCAGTATTTCTTGCACCACATCTTCTTCATAAATTTCCTTAATCAATTGTGATTTCCATTCATGAGTCTCCTGGTTAATCAGTTCTGCTACGAATTTTGGTACATTCTAGTTCAAGGGGCCTACTAGTTTGCCGGAAGGGAGCCACTTGTCCTCTTTAATTTTTATCTTTTTGCCGTCACCTACTTTCCATCTAGCATCTGCCTCAATTATGTCTCTACCCATTAGTAGACTCTGCCACCCCCGGGATGGGCGATGGCCCTTGTTGGCTTGCCAAAACTCACCACGGGGAAAATAGACTCCCTTTAGTACCTGACTCCAAAGGGCATTCGGTGCTTGTATTAGTCACCAGGCCTGTTTTCCTAGCATTGCCTTATTAAAAGCAATCAGGTCCTTAAAGCCTAAGCCATCCGCGTCTTTCCTGATTTTCAAAAGTTCCCATTTTCTCCAATGGATACCTGCTTTCTCTGCACTTTGCTTCCACCAGAAGGAGGAAATCTTCTGCTCAATCGCTCTACAAATCGAGATAGGAATCTTAAAAATGGACATTGCATACTGTGGCAAAGTTTGAATGACAGTTTTAATTAGGATCTCCTTCCCTATTTTGGTAATCAGCTTTTCTTTCCACCCCTCTAGCTTCATATTAACTCTTGCTAATATCCAGGCAAACATTTGTTTCTTTGACTGCCCCCAATCTGATGGGATGCCTAAATACTTGCCGGTTTTGTCAATAATAGGAACTCGTAGCTGCTCCGCTATATTCCTCTTCAGTAACTCAGGGCATCCATTGCTAAAGAAAATACCTGACTTGTTCAAATTGATAGCCTAGCCCGAAGCATAGCAATATTGGTTCAAAATACTTGCCAAATTCTGACATTCACGGACTGTTCCATTCAAGAAAAAAATTGCATCGTCCGCAAATAATAGATGTGATAATGTTGGACACCACCTATTCAGCTTTATACCTCTGATGCTACCCTCCTCAACTGCTTTGTTCAATAGAGACGATAAGGCATTGGCCATAATAATAAACAAGTACAGCGATAATGGATCCCCTTGTCTTATGCCTCGGGACGGCCGGAAGTCCTGTAGGGATTCGTCCACATTTTCCCCATTCGATTACAAAGGGCTGCTAGTCTACGTTCGTTTAACCTTTCCTTTTCCATTCTACTCACTCCGTTGTTTCTAAACACGTATGTGAAACCTTCAGAAGACAATGTCGTATGCTTACCAAGAGGGATGACAGTTTCCGCTTCCAATTTGATCGCCAATTACCTTTTCAATCTATTGTTCCTGCAACCAGGGGGCTTGTGTAGAACTTTCTGTAATAGGCGAGTAGCACTGATTCACGGCAATAAACTTGAAGGATGAAGGGAGCTCAGGAGCCAATGGATTAAGTGGAATTAGGGTTTAACGGGGAAGGATTAGATTTTGTGATTTAGGGCGTGGAATGGGTGAAATGGATATGGTAACTAGGACTCCAGAGGTGATGATGGTGTTGCGTCTGTCCATGGGTTTGGTGGGGTTATGATGGTTACATTGTGTGGATGTAGGGGTAATCGATGGGTTCTTATGGTAATGGAAGAAGATTTGTTGTAGACTGAAGATTGGCGATTATGTGAGGGTGCAATGGAAGCAAATTTGCCTAAGGGTTTCACGGGAGTAAGGTTAGCTGTTAGGGTTTGGCTATCACCATGGATAGAGAGAGCTCTCACTAGGGAGAGGGAAGACTATCACTGGGGAGAGGGATATCGAAGCAATTAATTGATCACTTGAATGCCATAACTTTTTAAAAATATTTACTCAAGTGTTGGAAATCCGACGTGGCATGGCACTTAATAGACATTTTTAAAAAGTTATGGCATTTAAGTGATCGATTGAAAAGTTATGTCACTTAAGTGATCAGAAAAAAAGTCATGACTCTCAAGTGAGCGTCATATATAAATTATAACACTCAAGTGATTGAAAAAAATTCATGACACTCAAGTGAATGACGTACAAAAGTTATAGGACTTAGGTGTCCTTTTTCCCTCAATATTTATGTCTATTAACAGGTTCTTTTGTCATCAATAGCCTAACCACCCGACACCAAACTCCTCATGTCAATTATTGATATTCACGATCATTGAGGAGCTTCTCCACCGTTGACAATTCGTCGATAGTTGTGATCGTCTAACACCGGGCTTTATATCGGCGTCACATTGATTAAAAGAATTTGGTCATTTTTTTGTGTCTACAAAATCTAAATCAACCGCCAACTAATCTACGACTCTAATGGGAAATTAAGCTCAGACTGCAAAAGAGCTTAATTATTAGCAGCCTCATCTTCAAGCTCCCACACCAACCCCTCGCACAGCTCGATCGACCCTTGGCCTTCACCAACACCATCCCACAACCCATCCTTCTTCGCATACCGTCTCTAACTTCACCGCTCTCTCTGCAAAGCAGTCCGAGCTCATCGTTGGCAAGTGCCTCATCAACCAAACGCATTACACATTTCACACATCATAAGGGGAGAGAGCGAGAGCGAGAGAGAGTACCAGAGGAAAAAAAAAAACAAAAGAAAGAATAAGATAATAATAGCTAGAGAGAGAAAATAGAGGAAGAAACAGGATTTCGAAGGAGCAAGAAGTTCGCAGAGATAATGTCAATAAAGGCATCATAGCAGCAGCCGCCGCCGCAGCCCCGGCAACAGCTGGCGCAGCACCTGTCGGGAAGTTTGCGCTTCAGCAGCAACCAGTCCATTTCCTGCGAGGACGAGGAGATACCGAGATTGGCGCTATCCACCTTCAGGCCAAGGAGGAGGAGATCGAGAGGAAGAAGATGATGGCCAGAGAGAAGGTCATCTCACATTTGGGTCGTGTCGGGGAAGAGACCAAGAGACTTGCCATGATTCGAAAGATCAACGGCACCAAGAAGATAGACGGTGGTGAACGATTGGGTGCAATGGGAGAGTGCGGGAATTGATTTCCGATTTCTAAAAATAAGAAGTCGTTTTCCTTATTTTTCAATGTGGATTTTCTAGCTCAGGGAGGATATTTTCCTTGATCAATAAATGTTCCAGCACCAAATACCGAAAAAGAATGAAAATGTTTTCTTAGAATTCATTTTTCAGCAAACAAAGGGAGCCTTAATATTAGTTTTCTTTTCAGCAAACAAAGGGAGCCTTAATATTAGTTTTCTTATTTGGAGGGCAAATAATGTTGCAAGTTTCAAATCCCTGTAACTTTGGGGCGTTCAACAAGTTTCTATCTGCACTATGACTTTACGTTTAGACTTTATCTATTCAAAAGCATTTCATCTTAGTTAAAACAAATCTCACAAGAGAATTTTCTTAATTGCAAATTTTTCATTCCAAAACTCCGGGAAATTGGTTATATCATTCTGTCATGTTCTGGTTTCTACGCTAGATGCAAAACGTCTTTTCAATGGTGAAGAAGAATTATGAAGAGAAGAAAGAAGGAAAATACTCTTCCTCAAGTTTAATAAATCAGTGGAAATCTTCATGGGTGTGAGTGTCTCAACAGCACTTTATCCCAAAATCGATAATAAGCAAACCTCCATGATCTGTTAAACATTAACGGACCAAAAAATGCCCAGAAGCCAACCACAAATCCTAGCGGTAAGCCCATGTAAAACCACTTCTTCTCGCTATCATCATTGTCGCCATCGTCACCAGCTTCTTCCAATCCGTCCGTGGTAATTGAGCAATTTTTGTTGAGCAGAAACCCACACAATCCAAGGTTTCCTTCAAAAGAACTTTTGGGAAACGTGAGAAACTGTCTACTTGCCGGGATGCTTCCCACGAGTTGATTCTTTGATAGGTTTAGGAATGAGAGGAAGTCAAGATTTTCAAGCTGATCCGGTATGGTTCCATTGAGGAAGTTCCATGACAGGTCCAACGATTCGAGCTGATGTAGATTCCCTAAAACAGGAGGAATTGAACCCGAGATGTCATTATGCGATAGGTTGAGGAAATAAAGTGCTTGCAGATCTCCAAGTGTGTCTGGTATTGGACCTTCCAATCTATTCCCCGAGAAGTCGATCGACGTGAAAACAGTCAGAATCTTGACGAGTTCTAACTGCAGGCCTTTCAAGGTTACACTCATTGTATCTTGATAATTGAGCCCACTTAGTGGGAGGAACTGATACTGCAGGTGATTGAAGTCTCTGTTGGCCTTCATAGCCTCGCAAGAAGCAAGGAGACTCACAGGTAGTGTGCCGCTGAAATCGTTTGAAGACAGGTCGATGATTTGAAGCATGTGCCAGGTGCCATTACTACTCGAGCATCCAATTTTCCCATGCAATCTGTTGGATCGTAAAACAAGGACGCGGAGAGTTGATATAGCCTTGAAATGGCATGGAAATGTCCCATCTATTTGATTGTCCCCGATGTTCACAACCTCCAACGTAGTGCAATTAGCCAACGACAATGGAATCTGCCCCTGCAACAAATTCTCACTGATATCCAATGTCTTTAGATCACATGTTCCTGGGATGCTTTGCGGAATATCACCATTCAACTGGTTATTCCTTAGATTCAAAACCTTGAGTGCCTCCATCATTAAACAATCAGGAATAGTTCCGTTTAGATGGTTATGCGACAAGTCGAGCACTTCAAGATAATGATCAGCTTTGCAAATCGACTTGGGGATGGACCCATAGATATTATTCTTTGAAAGGGAAAAGAACATCGTGACGGATAGGTAGTCGCCGATGTCATCTGGAATAACAGAATTGATGTTGTTACTTGAGAAATCCAAGTAGATGATGTATGACGGCAAGGGTGGCATTTTTCCTCGGAGCATGTTCGAATGGAGGTCGACGACAGACAGAGCCGAAGTAATATTGCGCAGAGGTGTTTCCAAATGTTTAAAGAAATTAAAGGAAAGATTGAGATGCACAAGATCTTCCAATGTCCATATCCATCTCGGTATTTCCCCGTGAATATAATTGTGGGAGAGGTCAAGGGAGACCAATTTGGACTGGTTAGCCAAAAAATGAGGCAAGGTTCGCAACTGGCAGGAAGCCAACTTTAAACTTTTAAAATCAGGGAAAGAGGATGCAGCAGCAGAAGAAGCAGACGCCATAGCATTGATGGACAAGCCATTGTATGAAAGATCAAGACGAGTTAAATTTCCAAATCCCTGAAGCGCATCAATATTCATTGAGCCACTGAAATTATTAAAAGAAAGTGAGAGTTCCCTAAGCCCTTGCAGTTTGAATATGGATACCGGTATTGACCCTTGTAACTGATTGCTACCCAAATCAAGCATGAGCAGTTGATCCGAAGAGACATTCGAATATATGATAAGCTGACCAGAAAATCTATTGTGTGAAAGCTGTATCATCGTAAGTCGGGGAAGTGTAAACAGAGCTGGGGGAATGTCGCCTTCCAATAAATTGTTTTGCAGGTCCAGATTTACAAGATTCAGAAGGTTTACCCAGCCAACGGAGAAGATCTGACCCGTTAAAGCATTATGGGATAATCTTATTCGGGCCAGATTTTTGGATATGCCAAATGGCGGAACAGGTCCAGAAAATTGATTAAATGAGAAGTCCAGAAAAGCCAGTAGAGAAAGTTTTGCAATCGAGCTAGGGATGGGTCCCGTGAAACTGCAATTCTCCAATTCTATAGTTGACAGATTTCTGAGATTACCAATTGAATCTGGGAGCCTCCCAGAAATATTAGTGAAACTAAGAGATAGTGTCTGAAAAGAACCATTCTCCGGAAATTCTGGCAAATAACCCTGAAGAAGGCGGTTGAATGATAGGTCAAGGGTCTGAAGTGTTTGTACCTGGAAGATTTTTTGAGGAAATTCTCCCTGCAGGCCACAATTACTGAGATGCAGAGAAGTTAAATTGTAGAAGTGGGCAAAGAACTCCGGGACTGTGGTAGACAAATTATTGCTGCTCAGTTTAATCACCGAGAGAAAACGAAGATTCACAAGGGAAGAGCAAGACTCAATGGGACCTGATAAAGAACAATATATCATGCTCAACACTTGAAGTTTCGGCAATGACGAAGACAAGGAATTGCACAATTCATTGCCTGTAGCAGACACGTTCACTCCGTCAAGGTGCAACTCTCTCAGCTCGCTAAGATTCCCAACAAGCATCTTTAGATTTGGATTCTCGAGCTTCAATGAAGCTAGCCCAGGAAAATAAAGCAGGGATATATCAAGAGTAACCAACCTCGTCAAACGTGATATTCCAATCGGAACCTGTCCTGTGAACCCGGCATTTGAAAGATTCAGGTAGACCAAATTGGTGAGATTACCGAACCCAGATGGAATCTCCAAAGACTGAAAGCTGTTGTAAGCCAAATTCAGCCTCTGAAGATAATTGAGTCTGAAAAGACTCGATGAGTCATTTAGCCCACTAGTGATACTCTCGTTGCTCAGATCAAGACCCGTGACTTGGCCACCTTCGCAGGTCACGCCATCCCAAGAATCATTGCTCTGATTCCATTTGATCAATTTAGAGGACAAAGAAGCATTGAATTTGAGGCTATTGTGTAATTCCAGCAGCAGCGATTTCTGATCGCTAAGACACTGGCCCGAGACCAAAACCGTGCCTATACTGAAGGGGTTGGCATGCACGAGTATTAAGACCAGCCATAGGAGGAGCCAAATCCTCATTTGCTTAGAGCAGATTAGGAAACACTATTTTACAGAGTTTGTGAGTGAACACAAACAAGGAGGAGTTGGGTTCTTAATGGAGACAGATGAACATGAAGTTCCTTGTATGAGATTCCTCTGGAGCTGTGTTTGGTCTAATTCTTATCACATTCTATCATTAATAATTTAGTCCCCACTTGTTGACTGTCTTAAGTTGACTTGACTTGTGAATGCAAATTCATCAAGTCACTTGGTCGAGCCAGTGGTGGCCTTCGGTTTTTCTTTGACTGTTGATGAAGAAAAGCCAAGAAAGAAAAAACAAGAGCTACTCTTTCCCTTGTATATCATTCCCCGCTTTCTACAGTACAAGTTCCCTTTAGAGAACAGGTATTCATTTTTCTCCCTTTTTATTTCTACAAGTTTTATTTCTACAAGGTTCACTATTGGGAAAATAAGACACTTAAAAATGGAGCTTTCAAGACTCATTTGGATCTTACAATTTGAATGATCTTCGAAAATTAAGGAAAATGGAGACATCGGTCAGGGGACATCACCAATAAAACTGAGTATTTCGTGTTTCTTGGTATTTACTTTTGCATTAATTCCCATATATCAGATATTTTTTCCTTTCAAACTGAGGTCATGTCCTTAATGTGCCTATGTAATGTACGATCAAAGGTCGAATAGTTTCCCTGATTATCCTGTCTTATGATTCAGAGCTGAACTCCTGAGGTAGATTTCCGCCTTCCAAATATTTAAGCAATGTTGGGATTTCGAGCAGCGCTACACCGCTCCTGTTTGTGTTCCAAGCATGTCTCCTCTAACGTGATCCTCATCAGATGTCTCGTGAGTACGCATTTTCTGGATACTGACCAGGACGTTGCGAGATTCTTCAATGATCTCCCTCAGGATGTCAGGTTCGATATTGGATCGAGCTACTAGACCGAGTAAATCAGGATACCACCGAAACAAATGGCGTGTGAGATGGACGGGGATTAAGCTCGAGCACTTTGGCAGCCCATGGTCCTTCATTACGGCTACTGCTGCTTTCATTCTCTTTGTTTTTACCATCGTTAACGCCTTTTTCACCGCTTATGCGTATTATCATCCCAGGAAGTAACCAACCTTAGGAACTCAGTTTCCGAAACATGTTTAGAGAAATCTTATCAGACCAATAAAATTTGTGACATGCCCGATTTCATTTCTCGATATCGCTTCGGCCGCTACTCGTAATTGGTTTTAGAATGCTTAAAACTTACATCTTCATTGCAGTTAGATCATGTGCCACCACATGGAACTAGTCCACGACAGACAAAGAGCATCGTATTAACCCTAGGATTTAACATTTCTAGAGATCTTACAAAATGTTACTGCAGTGAATCGAAATTGGCAGACCATATTTTTCAGACAACATGATTGTTGACTTGAAAGCGGCAGTAATCACCAGTCAGACCAATGATGAAGTGAACCGGTCAACCAGGTCCAACTTCAAGCCCATGAACTGAGCAGGAATTCGAAAACCCCAAAATTTCCATGCACCTTCTTAGAGCTGGGAAGATTGCTCCTTTGGTCCTGTCTGGCGAGCGCACGCATGAAGAATCTTTATTATATCCGAACTTGAAGAATGCTTCTGATTGAAGGACTTTCCGACAATAGACAATTATGGAAAGGAAAGACAATTGAACTTTGCTCCAATATAGCATAACGACCAAATTACACGCAATAGCTTTCAGTTGACTTGACTAAAGAATGCAAAATTGTTGTTTAGTGGAGCTGCCCGATTCGGTGATTTATAAAAATTCCGTTGACCAATAAAACGGAATTTTTTTTCTATGGACGCTAATTACATAACATCGATGATAAGTAAAAAGTTATCAATAGATTGTTGATTTGGTTAACGATTTGAAATTAGCGATGAAATTACAATTTTTTCATTGATAAATTCAACGGTATATTACCACTTGTTTTTAGATTTTGCAAATGGACGCGTAAGTAAATGTTAACAATGAAATAGCAACTTTATCATCCCATCCACAAATCTGATAGTAGACTAACACGTATTTTTATATTTTACAAGTGGGTGCATAATTATTTGTAAGTTACCAATGAAGGAACAATCTTGCTATCCACAAACCCAATATTAGAAAACCATTTATTGTGCTGTGATTTAGTTTTGAGTAGTGAATATATAACTAGAACTTTTACGGTCATAAGTCACTAATATTGTTGCAAAGTATCGTCAATATACATTATCAGTAGGGAGTGCGATTTTACCACCGTTATTTGAAATTTAATGAATGATATTACAGATTTACTATTGAATGGAACATTATTATGTATGGGCCAAAAGGAATGTTAGACACTTCTTCATGATTATTAGACGACTCATCATGATCAAGAAACAAGAAAACACCGCTGCCCTTCCCTTGTCTCCACATGGCAAGTTTCCTCTTGTAGCGGTAGTCGCAAAGCTAGACATAGTCCCTCTTTAAAAAGTACGCCAACCATTTTAAACAGGGACGATTTCAAATTAAGCAAGAGTAGAATTTCAACCATTTTAAACCTCAGCAACTCAGTTTCAGAAGCATATTTAGATAAATCTTATCAGACCAATGAAATTTGTGAAGTGCTGGTTTCATTTCTTGATAACGCTTTGGCTGCTACTCTTAATTTATTTTTTAGACCATGTGCTACCACACATGGAACTACTCCATGACATAAATTATGGTACGACGAAGAGCATTATATTAAATGCAGGATTTAACAATTCTAGAGACCTTACTAAATGCTAGCGCCGGTGATTGAAATTAGCAGACTTTATTTCTTATACAACGTGATTGTTGACTTGAAAGCAGCAGTACATGTATGAAGAAATTTCATGTTATTCAAGCTTGAAGAATTTTCTTTATTCAGAGACTTTCCTAGCAATAGACATACAGGTCTTGAATTTCTCAAGTCCAATCATCTTCTACTAGATGCACCTCCTCAGTTCTACTTCATAGACCATTGACAGTTTATAATGGACAATCATGGAGAGGAAAAACTATGAACTTACTCCAATCAAGCATAATGACCAAAGTTCAGCGAACATGATAACATTGCAAAAGTCTGAACAGCAAGTCATCCCAAAACTGAAAATACGCACGCCTCCATGGCAGGATAAATATTAGTGTACCGCAAAAAACCCAGAAGCCGACAACAAATCCGAGTGGCATGCTCATGTAAATCGACTTCATGTCAATCCAGCCATTGTCCTCGCGATGTTTGGACCTTTGAGTTGGAACAGCATCTGCTTCTTCAGGATTGGTTGTTATTGGGTAACTTTTGTCAAGTGGAAACCCGCATAGTCCTTCATTACCTTCAAAAGAACCTACTGAAAATGTGAGAAACTGTTTGCGTGCTGGGATCATTCCAACAAGTTGATTATAGGAGAGGTTCAGGAATGAAAGGAAGTTCAGATCAGAAAGCTGCACTGGAATTCTCCCATTGAGGTAGTTCTGTGACAAGTCTAGGGACTCGAGCTGCTGTATATTTCCTAATGAGGGGGGGATAGGACCTGAAAGCACATTGTGCGACAGGTTGAGAAAATAGAGTGCTCGGAGATCTCCCAATGCTTCAGGCATTGGACCCCCAAATCTATTGCTCGAGAAGTCGATCGAGGTGAAAACAGTTAGGATCTTCATTAGTTCTAGATGCAGACCTTTAAAAGTAAGACTAACTGTGTCCTGATAATAGAGATTGCTCAACCGAAGAAACGGATATTGAAGATGCTCAAAGTGCAAATTGACCTTCATGGCCTCCCAAGACATCAGGAAATCTTCAGGAAGCATACCGCCGAAATTGTTGAAAGCTAGGTCAACAATTTGAGGCATCTTCCATGTGCCACTATTTTGACTGGACAACCAATTTGCCCGTGGAATATGTTGGAATGCAGAACAAGGACTCTCAGGGAAGATATGTTCTTCAACTGGCACGGGAATGCATCCTTAATCCGATTGTTTCCAATGTCTAGCACCTCTAACATGGAGCATTTTGCCAAAGAAATTGGGAGCTTTCCTGTCAAGAGACTACCATTAACATCCAAAGTCCTCGAGAGGCATGTGCATGGGAATGTATGCGGAATTCCTCCAGTCAGGTAGTTATTCCTCATGTTCAACACCTCTAGATTCTCCAACATTAAGCACTGAGGGATGGTTCCCATCAAATGGTTTTTTGAAAGGTCAAGTACCTCAAGATTCCAGGCTTCGTAAATTGATTATGGGACAGGGCCATGTATATGATTGTTTGAAAGAGAGAAGAAACTTGTGGAACCCAGGTGTTTACCCATATCATTTTGAAGAACTGAACTGAAATTGTTACTTGAGAAATCCAGGTAGACACTTCTCCTTGGCAAAGGTAACGTTTTTCCCTGGAGTTAGTTTCTATGGAGGTCAATAACAGACAAAGTATAAGTGAGATTAGGTAAAGGTTCTCCCAATTTATCGAAGAAATTGAAAGAAAGATTGACATAAGAAAGAAGTTTACTCTCCCATATCCATTTTGGTATCTCTCCTTGAATTTGATTGTCGGAGAGGTCTAGATAGCGTAATGGTTGATTTTCCAAGAATTCAGGTAATGAACTCAGCTGACAGGAAGCCAGCTTTAAAGTGTATAGAGTGGGGAAACCAAACATAGCAGAAGTGGAAGCAGTAGCATTAATTGACAAACGATTGTGGGAAAGATCGAGATACGTAAGGTTCTTGAGCCGCTGAAACGCATCAATGTGCAATGAGCCACTGAAATTATTAGAAGAAAGTGAGAGATAGCCAAGCCCTCGAAGTTCAAAACCATACGCTGGTATGGGCCCCCCTAAATTGTTGCTGCTCAAATCAAGCAGAGTTAGTTGATAGCAAGTGACATTTAGAGACCCACTCAGCTCACCAGAAAACTGATTGTCGGACAATTTTATGATCTTGACCGAAGGAAGTATAAATAGAGACCAGGGAATGCTGCCCTCCAATGAGTTGTACCACAGATCTAGATATACAAGGCTTATAAGTTCTGCCCATCGGGTGGACTTAATCTCTCCTGTTGGAGCATTGCGGAATAGCACAATCTGTCTCTGATTCTTGGACATACTGAAGGAAGGAACTGAACCTGTAAGATTATTTAAAGACAAGTCCAAATAAGTCAGCGCTGACAGGTTCTCCATCAAGCTCAGGATCGATCCACTCAATCTGCAATTAGACAATTTCCAATCTCGACAATTTTCTAAGATTACCGATTGAATCTGGAAGCCTCCCTGAAATACTCGTGTAAGTCAGGACCAGAGTCTCAAGAGAACTATCCTCTGGAAAATTGGGCAAAGGACCCTGAAGAAGTTGGTGGCCTGATAAGTCAAGGATCTGAAGTGTCTGCGCCTGAAAGATTTTACTAGGAAACTCTCCATACAACCCACAATAACTCAGACGCAGAGTAGTCAGATTAGTGAATCTGGCCAGGAACTTAGGAACCGGGGTTGACAGGTTGTTGCCGTTGAGTTGAATGAATGACAAATGATGAAGATTCACGAGGGAAGAGTCAACAGGACCAGAGAGAAAGCAGTTAGACATGCCCAGCACCTGAAGTTTTTGCACTGAAGAGGACAATGCATTGCACCACTCATTTCCCTCGGAAGACAGGTCGACGCCATCGAGATGTAACTGTCGTAGCTCTGTGAGATTTCCGATCAAGGTCTTCAAATTGGGATTCTAGAGCTTTAGTGTATCAGTTCCAGGGAAATAAAGAAGAGAAAGATCAAGAATGCTTAACTTCCTCAAGGGCGCTAACTCTATCGGAATTTGCCAAGAGAATCCAGCATTGGACAAGTTCAGATAAACCAGGCCGCTGAGATTTACGAAGCCAGACGGAATTGCGGAGGATTTGAAGTTGTTGAAAGCCAAGTTTAGCTTTTGAAGATGCTTTAGTCGAAATAGACTCGACAAACTGTTAATATTGCGAGAGATCGATTCGAAGCTCAAGTCTAGACCGATGACCTTACCATCCTCGTCGCACATCCCACCATTCCAAAGGCGAGCGTTCTGATTCCACGTAACCGGCTTGGAAGACACGGATGCATCGAAGACAAGGCTATTTTTCGACTCGACCAGCAACGGTTTGTAAGTTACCGATGAAGGAACAATCTTTCGATCCATAAACCCCATAGTAGAAAACAAGTTTTCGTGCTTTGATTTAGTTTTGAGTAGTAAATATATAACTAGAACATTTACGGTTATAAGTCACTAATATTGTTGCAAAGTATCGTCAATATACATGATCAGTAGGGAGCGCAATTTTACCACCGTTATTTGAAATTTGATTAATGGTATTACAGATTTACTATCGAATGGAACATTATTCTGTATGGATCAAACGGAATGTTAGACACTTCTTCGTGATTATTAAACGACTCATCATGTTCTAGAAACAAGAAAACATAGCTACCCTTCCCTTGTCTCCACATGGTGAGTTTCCTCCTTGTAGCGGTAGTCGCAAAGCTGGATATAATCCCTTTTAAAAAGTACGCTAACCATTTTAAACAGGGACGAGTTCAAATTTCAAGCGAGAGTAGAGTTTCCCATGGCATTTTCCTTTTGTGCTACTTTGTAGGGCATTGTTTGGGATAGCTACTTTGCGATTTTCTCGTGTTTTAGGCTGAAGAGAGGATTAAGTTTTTGGACAAGTTTGGTGTTTCGTGAAACAAAATATGGAACAACATCAGCCTCGCTCATGAATGCAGTGTATAACTTCGCCGAAACACTCTCAATCGTCACCGACCAGGCCATCCCCCTTGCACAAGCTCTCTCTCTCTCTCTCTCTCTCTCTCTCTCTCTCTCTCAATCGAGCTAAGTGCTCGCGGCCATGGGAGCTGGCTCCTATGGCACGAGCCTCAAGCTCGGGGTGGCTGCAGAGCCCTCTGAGACAGAGCTCATATCCATTTAAGTTCTGCACGAAGATCTCGCCGGGGTCCATGGCCAGCAGTAGCCATGGGACCCGATCTGGTCCAGTGGTTGGAGTCGCCCAACCTGGATCTGGACCAGATTCGAGGCAGTAACCATCGCTGGGCTCATACATGAGGCCTGGCTTGCAGAGGTCACGATGGTGACGCTCACAAATTACTCTTCAAAGGGACGTTCTTCGATGGCCATGCCACACTTCAATGGCTAGCCGATGATATGAGGAACACGATTCTATAATTCAACCTGTTTCCTTATTCTTATTGGCATTTTTCAGTCTTTTTTATTTCTTAAAACTCGGGTTTACTTTTTAAATATTTTTTGGCCAACATCATTTAATTTTCAATTTGTCATTTTTTTGAATTTTTTGAATAATAAATGCGCCAAGTAAGTGCACCACCTAAGGAAAAGATAATGATTATCAATTTCGTCCTTGAGTAAAACTTCGTCAGGACATTTGGTGAATGATCTTTCTTGGGATTTGGCTTAAGATTTAAATTAAAGGTGAGAAATTTTATGTAACTAAGAGAAATGATTTTTATAGACAATTATTAATTTTCTTTTAGATATTATCAAAGGAGTTAGTAGAAATCCAACTTCCAAACCTTCAGATCTTGGGAACGAAAATATTGACCAGAACTTTTCAACCGTTCAACCATAAACATGGATCAGGTGATCAGTGACAGATCAGTATGAGACCAGTAGATTCTCAGTAGAAATTTACTATATCACATGATGTACATATGACAATAGCTCAAAAACAAGAATCTTTTGCTAAGGATTAACTCACTCTCTTATCTTTATAGACAAAACAATAGCAAACTCCATCAACTATTAACTACAAGTGACAGGAGGATGATGACTGAATTTGTCACACCTTTGATCGGCCTATAAGGCAAAAAACCATAGCTCCTATACATTATCCTCGGCTGCTGCCGAGCATCACCGAGAGACTTCAGCCACTAATCCGATAGGAAATCTAGCTCGTTGGGTAGAGTAACTCTTTTTCGCAACAGGGACTCGATCGTCGGACATTTCCTCTTTCTCCCACCTCGGGGCCTGGAACGAAATAGCTCATCTGACTCCTCGAAATCACCCTGAAACCAAGGAGCCAAAATTTCCAGGTATGAGGATCATCCATCTCTCATGTAGTAAAAAGCTGGATTTCAACAGCAGTAAAATTGAATTTCAATATTTGAGAGAATGAGACGTAAGGGCTCACTGGAGTGTAAACATGGCAACCGGTTTTCTCATGATGGTCTCTCACATGCTTATACGCAAACTTCTTGCCACAATCCTTGTAGCTGCAAACAAATGGCCTCACCTCAAGATGAACAGCCTTCACATGCTGACGTAAATTTGATTTCTGTCAACAAGAAAAAAAATCAGCTAATGTACACTCAGCAGCCACACAATAAAAGAACTTGAGCTTCAAAGTTCCGAACAATTATATTTCATGCACAGCCAGAAACTACTTTATAGGTGACTGCACCTTACCGTTGAAAAAACGCGGAGACAACCCTCGACATCACATCTGAATGCTCCTGAATCAGCCAAATTTTTCTTCTCATGCGTGCGGAGATGCCGATGGATATTCTTCCTCAAATGCTTAGTCCCGCATATGTCGCAATTGACTAATTGGTGAGCTGACTGCACGTGCTCCTTCAGATAGTCAACATTGCTGAAGTATTTCATGCACTCACAACAGAAAGCCTCCACAGTCTCCAGTTTGACTGCAGCAGTTGAAATGACGTTATTATCAATTAGCACACTAAACACCTTGTAGATATCATTCGGCTTCACCAACACACTTCATAATAAGTGACTTACCATGAGAATCCTCATGCTTTCGCAACTTTGATGCAAACTTGAAAACCTTTCCACACCCAACCTCCGGACAAACATGCTGCTTCGGACTCTTAAATTCACCAGACGTCGATGGTAGCACATCACTATGAATATCACTCATGTGCCTCTTCATGTTCCCTTGATATGCAAATGACTTATTGCAACCATCAACAGGACAGCTGAAGATCTTGCCTTTATGCTGAAGAAAGTGACGAGCCAAATGGTCTTTTCTCCTATAGTTGGCAGGGCAATCCTCCATAGAACACTTGAAAGGCCTCTGCAAATAAATTTAGCATATTGACACATAGATACAGAGCATACCAAATCTCTAGATATCAATAGAACAAACGAACCATGCTTCAAACCTCAAAATAGAACATGCGTGACCGAGGCTGACTTGATGGATCTTCTCAGGTGGTCCCCCAACCTGATACTAGTCCAATCAAGATACAAGAATGCAGCCTCTTGCATTTTGGAGTTCTTTTCGGTGGGATCCAATGCTTCACGCCATTACCATATCATAATCAGATCAGCCAACATACTTTATCCTGCAACGTCTTGATTTCAGTATAGGTAAACTTGCAGTAGACAAATGGAAAAGAACAAAACAGCTTCATTTTTCAACCAAAAGTAAAACTTTTTTTATCCTAGAAATCTATCTGTGAAACCAGATCGCAATAAAAGATCGATGCTTTCTCATAAGTGCTTCCATGTGATGATGCTCCACAAGTTCACAGCACTATATTTGTAGGTAATCACCATTCCACAGCCCAGAAAATCATGCACATCCCCAACAATAACATCCGAATTGCTGCTTCCGACACCTCATTATAAATTATAAATGTGAAGAGTTTGAAAGCAAAGACCACAACCGAGCATTGTACATCAAAACCATCAGTTCAACAAGACCGGTGCGACTGTGATCAGAACCTCTCCACTCCACAAACTGTACCTCACCGTCGACCACCTCAATGACAGGTGCAATCTAATCGAAACTCGACTGAAATTTTCAAGGTACTCGCTTTCACGTCGCACTATCAAGAACAACAAACGAACTCCGGTGAGACAAACAGAGGGCGCTCGACATACCTCGAGCGAATGGCCCTGCATATGCTGCTTCAAGTAGGCGGGCTTCTTAAAAGTCGCGCCGCATTCTTGGCAGGTATTAGCCTTCGCTCCCTCCTTCCCCTCGACCCCTCGAGCCATTGCCGCTTCCATCTCCTCCTGATAAAGACCCAAAGCAACACGAAAAGAAAAAACCGGTTCGCATCAGTTCCGCGACGCAAAACCGCAGCAAATTGCGGATCGAACTAATAATAATCGCATCGCGGCATCAGAACTCGCGAGCCCAAGAACGAACCGAGCTGCTCAGGAAGAAGCATCGGGAAGGCAAACGAAGCGAAGAGAAGTGGGCAAAGAAAGGGAAAGGGGAAGGAGAAGGGACCTTGTGGTGGGATTGGATGTGAGAAGCGATGAGGGACTTCTTGGACCTGCAGATCCCGCAGTGCTCGCAGTAGTAACGCCTTACGTCTCTGAACACAGGCCCTTCTCCTGCCTTCTCGCTCCTCTCTCCTTCGCCCATCTCTCTCTTTCGTTCTCGCTCTCTGAGATGTTGCAAACTGGAAGAGACGCTCAGCTCGAACTAGAAGGAAGCAAAGGGCACAAGGGTTTAAGGCGGGGTTCCCGAACTCACGAGATAGCCACGGCTTGGGCCTCTTCCGGTGCAACTGCTATTGGGCCCCCACTTATCGGGCCCATTTTCGTGGCTTTGCATGAATGATGGGCCGAAGCATTGTTACCCACGCAAACACGTACGGACATTTTTGCTATTAAATAGACCTGTCAAAATAGATCATAAATCAAATTCATAACCTATATTTGAATAGCTGAGTTGTTATATAGATTAGTTATGTTCAGTAAATATGTCATAAACAGGTTAAAATGGTAAAACCAAAAATAATATGTGTGTCAAATGTGGAAGTGTTTTAGCAATACAGGTCAGATCGGGAATTGATGTCAATAATCTTAGATTGCATATTTACAAAATATCACATGGATCTAGGATTGTATTTGCGTTTAGGGTAAAATTACACTTTCCATTATTTAGAGTAGATGTAATTTCCTCTTATGCACAATTTGAGAGTCATTAAGGATTACATTACACATAGAAAAGTATTAGAAAAGTCATAAATTTATTGCGTTGGTGTCAATTTAATCCTAAACCTTTTAATCGTGTAATTTTAATCCTAAACTTTTTGACCTAGAGCCAATTCGATACTTCCGGCTAATTTTGCTGACATGGACACCGACCGTATTACGTGACATGGCCGACACTGACATGGATATTTTCAATAATATTT